AGGGGAATGTTTAATATTAGCCAAGCCCAGAACCTTTTTTATTTTTTTATTTTTTTTTTATTGTGAGATGATAATGGCACAGATCAACCTCTGGAAGGAATGTACAAATTTAACCCTGCCTTGCCTTTCATTCCTACTTTTACTCCATTTTATTTGTTTCATCTCTTTGCCTAGTTAATTCAAATTGTTAATATACTGTGTCTTCTAAGACCCACACTCCCTGATTAAGTACATGATGCACATAGTGTGTATTTTATTTTGCTTTTTTATTTTTTAAAAATATTTGTATTGATTTCAGAGAGAAAAGGAAGAGGGAGAGAGATAAAAACATCAATGATGACAGAGAATCATTAATCAGCTTCCTCCTGCACGCCCCCTACTGGGGATCGAGCCCATAACCCACGCATGTGCCCTGAGCGGAATTGAACCTTGACCTCCTGGTTCATATATCCACGCTCATCCCTGAGCCACATTAGCTGGGCCACTTGGTGTGTATTTTAAAATCTTTTGTTTAAAAAAAGGATTCTAAGAACTGAACAGGGGCATGACTCCTCTTCCTATGCTAGGGCAAAGAATCACTAATAAAGAAAAAGGATGTGATTGGTTGATAAAGAAGAAAAACATGTCCATCTATTCAAAGCAATAAGCTTTGTAGAAAGGATGTTCCACGTTGTGCTGGATATTTTTCTGTTGATTTTTTTTTTCAATTACTACCTTGACCTGGAATTTGATATTGAGGAATGTATTCAATATGTTAGCTACTTGGTTGAATTTTTATTAGCAGAGAAATGTCTCAGATAAATAGAATTGATAAATTAGATAAATTAAACGCACTAACCCTTTAAAACCATTCTTAGAGCATAAGTAATTATTATTTTATATTTAACTTAAACTTGATGAAAAACTAGTTTTGTTGCACATCACATAACCTTTACACTTGTAGACCCTAAGGAACATGTGAAAAGTGAAACCATTCAACATTAACACTTTTGAGTTGTATATTTTAAATCCTTTTAAAATATGTATTCCATAAAATGATTAAGAATTAGCATTAAATCCTTTATTCACGGGTCATTTTCCACCAGCATAATAAGTTTCACCAAAAAATAAATGCAAGTGGACATTGTATTTAAGTAACTCCTGAGCCATTTGGCACCAGCTATTTTAAAACATGAGAAAATAGAAAATATGATAATGGCCATAACTTGTCTATACTTGGAACAGTTTGCTTGGCAGGTAGATGGTGACTGCTAAAATAATCAAGAGGGGACAAACGTAATTAAAAATTCACTCTCTTTTCAGAGACGTGAAGATTTTTCCTGATTAATGTGGTTAATGTCCATAAAAAAATAAGAACATACTGTGCAAATTTTAATTTATTTTAACTTTTTAAAATATATATATATTTTTATTGATTTCAGAGTGGGAGAGAGATAGAAAAATCAATGATGAGAATGAGTAATTGATCGCTGCCTCTTGCTCACAATCCCCTGGGAATCAAGCCTGCAACCCAAGTGTGTGCCCTTGACTGTAATTGAATCTGGGACCCTTCAGTCTGCAGTCCTGACACTCTATCCACTGAACCAAACCAGTTGGGGCAACTTTTTAAATTTCAAAAATGAAAGGTATTTTCAAAACTCAAAAGAACTAAACTTAAGAAATTCAGATAAGCTATTTGACAAAAGAATGAAGCCTAGAAGAAAAGTTAAAATCCGTTGTCTTTTTTAACACTTTCCTGTAGAACAGGGTCTTCTGCAAGTTGGACAAGGTAAAGTAAAATGCATATTTTCCCAAAGATATAGACAAAATTGATAGATTAAAAATTTTCCCTTGTGTGGTTTTCTGACATAACTTTTTTTCATATGTTTGTTTATTCTATTTTTAAAAATATATTTTATTGATTTTTTACAGAGAGGAAGGGAGAGAGATAGAGAATTAGAAACATCAATGAGAGAGAATCATCGATCAGCTGCCTCTTGCACACCCCCCACTGAGGATGTGCCTGCAACCAATGTACATGCCCTTGACCGGAATCGAACCCAGAACCCTCAGTCTGCAGGCCGACACACTATCCACTGAACCAAACTGGTTTCAGCTGTTTATTTATATTTTAAATACGTTTTTAGTGATTTTAGAGAGAGAGAAAGGCAGGAGGATAGAGAGATAGAAACATTGATTGGTTGCCTCCTGCGCACCCCCCTATTGGGGATCAATCCCACAACCCAAACATGTGCCCTGGTCAGGAATTGAACCAGTGACCTCTTGGTTCATGGGTTGATGCTCAACCACTGAGCAACACTGGCCAGGCTGCCATAACTAAAACCCCTTGAGTATCTTTTAGGATCTTAGTACTGTGGATCCTAATGTAGCATACTTGTATATTTCATTATAAAATATCAAATAGGGAATTTTCCCAATGAGAAGACTCAAAAGAAAAAAATCTTTGCCTAACTTTAAGGAGAATTTTTAAAAATAGCCTTATATGTGTATTTTTAACCATAAAAATATATAAATGTAGAAAAAAAGTACTTTATTCCCATCCTTTTCATTGTTTAAAATAACTATTCAAATATTTTCACTTATCAGTGTCTTTAACACCATACGAGTGACATATCTTAGTAAGATAGCACAGTTTTTAAGAGAATATTAATTCCCATCCCAGTTGTCTGAGAATACAACACTTTCTGAAACACTGGAAATCTTGTCTCAAGTAACAAAATCTCATTATGTCATATTTGGGAAATTTTTTAAAATCTCCCCCATTTCTTCTGTGATTGGTATTTCCCCAGTGAAACAATTTAATTACTTAATTTTTACAATACTTTTTGAAAGTTGTGCTCACAATGATATCTGCCCCTGGAGTTCTAAGGCCTAGGAGTAACTAAAAGGATTGAAAATTTTGCTCTTTTTGGTCTTAATTATCATTAAGTTAAAGGATGGTGTCAGAGATCACATTACTAGTATGTAGATGAGTTCCCATAATGCGCCTTTAGGCAAACATTTTCTAAATAAATTGAACATAGGAATGATTAGAATTACAAAAAATATGTAAGGAAATGGGGAATTAGCCTATAAATATGATTTTTAATAATCAAGAATTAAGATTTTTGTAAGTTTATTTTTTAAAAAAATTCAGATATAATTAACATATGACTCTTATGCTCTTGTTTATTTTGTAACTTACTGACATACGTAATTATACCTTAGTGTGTCATTTTTCTTAAGCAGCAAAGACAGTCACTTAAATCTCTACCACAAAAAAGGTGGTAGCTTTGGAGATAAAATTTGGGGTGAGGGCAACCTCAGAATCTCATAGTCATACCAGAGTTCTCAGAAAACTCATGAACCAAACCAGAGGATTCCCGTGTTCTTGGTAGGTGAAGTCTAAGACTGTCTCAAGTTTTCCCTGATCTTAGAAAGAGTCTCAGTCTAAAGGTGATACTCCAGACTAGCATCAGGGAATAGCCTTCTAACCCCCTCCCCCAAGTTCCCCGCCCCTCTCCACCCCCCTCTCCAAGAGCTACCTGGAAGCACCAGAGAACCCTCACAGCTGGCTAACATCATTGGTGTTTCCCATTGAAAATATAGATATGACCCTGGCCTGTGTGCTCAGTTGGTTGAGTGTCATCAGATGCACCGAAAGGTTGCCTGTTCAATTCCCTGTCAGGTTGTGGGTTCAATCCCCAGTTGAGGTACGTACAGGAGACAACCAATCGATGTCTCACTCTCAAATCAATGTATTTCTCTCCCTCCCCCTTTCTCTCTAAAATAAAAAAAATAAAATAAAAAAAATAGAAATAGCTTCCAATTTGTAAAAGATGCTCTGTTCTCCATTGTAAATGTGAGGATGCTCTGAATCTTCTCCAGATGTTTATGACTTTCTTGGGAGTAAGGCAGAACTACTTGACTTTTATTTTTTCATTAAACGTACTTAGTTATGAAATACACACTTGCATATATATGATCAGCAAATAAGTACCAGCATGTGTTCATAACGAAAAGGGGAATCTTAATGTTTCACAGCTACCAGGAGCAGAGGGAAGTGAGAGAGTATTGTCTTTGGGGTCTGCCCCTCCAATGTCAAGTTCCTTCACTCTGGAATAGGAAGCCGGGTAATGGAATTGAAGGGTAGATTCTCCAAAGCTCTTTGCCACTCTCAAAAATTCTGAGTTTTTATTATTTGAATGAGTAGAAATAGAGTTTAAATGCCCTATAAACACAAGTGTACTGCTCCTAATTCCCGGGAAGCCTTTATTTCCTCCCAAGTGGTCATGGTGATTATAGCTTCCTCCCTTGAAGTCCTGGGTGCTGTGAATTGGTAGGACACATGGTATAAAAGTTCTTTCATCCCAGGATTAAGTAATGGTGGGAAACGTGACCCTCACTGTATAGTGGGAGGTCTTTTTAATATACAGAGGCATTGTTCTTTGGGGCATAAGAATGAAAGCATTCATTCCAGGCAGCACATGAATCTGATCTGTATAGAATCCGTTGTTGGATCATGTAAGCTGACCCTCATCTCAATCCTGGGACTAAGGACCCTAATTATAGCACTGTTTTACATTCTCAGATGAACTGTATTTTTATCAGTGCTGAGAGTCTGAGTCATCGCATTCCTTCAGGATTTACTGGGGGTAATCACTGATGAGTTACTTCCTTTTACGTGTTCCTGATTAGCTGTTGATCTGATTTGATCCAGGTGCTCTTTCTTCTTTTCAGTCCCATTGGTAGAACTGAAATTGTCTTTTGTGCTCAGATTCATTACCCAAATAGCTTGGAGGCCATTATTGCCTGAATGTAGAATTACTTGCCAGATATCAAGATTTCCTTTGGTATGTAAAGTTGAAAAATTTTATATTTTCGAGCACAGTTTAACATTTAAGTCTTAGGGGGATATACTGATTTTACTTGAATTCCCTGCTTCAAATAGGACAGTTTGGAACTGCATTCTTCCTTAGCCCTGTTCACATACAAATCTTTTCACTGTAGTACGCGGAGAAATGAGGGTCCCTGAAGAAGCTCTAAAGGTAAAATACTTTTTCTCATTTCCTCCTTAAGCCTACTGTGTACTAGAGTTGGTTTCACTCATGCATGTTTCACTGCGATGTTTTCTAGCACGAGAAGTTTACCATTCAGTTCCAATTGTCCCAAAAATCTTCAGAACCAGAATCATCCAAATCCGCTTGTGCCAAGGGCGTGGATTCGAAGGTGGCAGATCCTCCTCCTCCTCCTCCGGAAGCTCAGCACAAAGCCACCGAGGCCCTGAAGGCCGAGGACAAGGCTCTGGGTATGCTCCTCTCATTGTAGACACCGTGTCTATACTTGATTGCGAAGTGGCAGGCTTTGTTCTCAAAATCTTATCCATGTCCAGATAGTAATAACCTACCATATATACTGTATATAAAAGGCTAATGTGCTAATTGTTCCTTCCCTTCGACTGGTCGATCAATTGCTATGATGCACACTGACCACCGGGGGCAGATGTTCTGACTGGTAGGTTAGTTTGCTGCAGGGCTCTGGGCCAGATGGGTTGGACACTCCTTGGAGCCCTTCCGTGGTCCCTTCCCAGCCCTGATTGTGCACTGGTGGGGTCTCTTTGCCTAGCCTGGCCTGCGCCCTCTCACAATCCAAGATCCCTTGGGGAATGTCAAAGAGCCAGTTTCAGCCCAATCCCCGCAGGCCAGGCTGAGGGACCCTACCAGTGTACGAATCCATGCACCGGGCCTCTAGTAATAGTAATAGTAATAGTAATAGTAATAGTAATAGTAATAGTAATAGTAATAATAATAGCAACAACAGTTCACAGTGGATTTTAATGCAGTCAGTGCTTTTGTTACAAAGCATTATAAATCATATTCTATGGCAGTTGTATGTTGGTGTGTTTCATATGTTTAAATATGTAAGGGAATGAAATGTAATTCACCTTATAATATTTTTATTAATTCACATGTGTTTGCTTTTTCTTCTGAATTATAATAACTGAAATGAATTAATAGGAAATACCCATTGATGCTGCATCATAATAATGATCATATTTATTATGTTCCAGAAACTGTAAAAAAAAAAATGCTTTAGATAAATAATCCCTTTCATACAAAAGCAATTTTTTAAATGGAGAGGCATCACCACATTTGTTCAAATGTAAATCTGTTAATCCTATTAACAGCACGTTTAAATTGAGTTAATATGCAATTCCCTATGGCTTTAAAAATTTTTTTTAGGCACTCATATAAAAATTTCCTTTAATCTTATCTAATAAAGAGGTAATATGCAAATTGACCATCACTCCAACACACAAGATGGTCGCCCTCAAATAACTCATTGTGGTTGAGTAGAAAATTATTGGGCTTAGCAGTCTGCATTACTTAGATACTAATGAGTGCAAAATACATTTTCCTTAGTCACGTCCGACATTGAATGTGGTCTTACACAAATACTAACTTGTTATTTAACTTAAGTACTTTTCAGCTGCCTAGACTATACTTTGTTTTTCACTTCACAAATCAACCAGGCAATTCTAATATCTGCAAAGCCTGTTTCATATGCTTTAGACAGATTTTCCTACCTCTTTCCAGATACTTCTGCCATGCCCCGCGGTACTCCATTATATGGACAGCCTTCATGGTGGGGCGAAGATGAGGTGGATGAAAAAAGAGCTTTCAAGTCAAATGGCAAACCAGAAGAAAAAAATCAAGAAACTGGAACCTCAGGTAAAAAAATCTCAGATTATAAGATTTGGGGATATTATTGGGTAACAGATTCATCTATCCTAAGAAGTGATATCTACTACTCTGTAATTTGATTTAAAAAAAGTTGATGAATGTTATAATGACATTAACATTGTAATTTTAATTCATTCTGAATGATTCTCAGATAAATCATTAATTCCATTATCTTTATTAATCATTTAAAAATATGATATGGGGCATGCAGTTTTTTTATGAGATTGTTAAAACTTGGGAAAACATAATAATGTAATTGGACAGTTTATTTCAAAATACAATTAATTTCATTAGGTTCACAAGCATATAATTATACTAGAGGCCCAGTGCATGAAATCCGTGCGTGGGTAGGATACCTAGGCCTGGCCAGCAATCAGGGCCAGTCAGGGCCTTCCAGCTGCTGGTTGGGGCCTTCCTTCATTCCATAACGCCTCTTGGTGGTCAGCATACATCATAGCGAGCAATCAAATTCCTGGTCGAACTCCTGAAGGGACACTTTGCATATTAGACTTTTGTATATATAGATTTTTAAATGAACAATTTCTCTGATGTTTAGAAATAGGACATGAAATGAAAACCTTTCAAGCCTCAGTTTATGCAGTTTGTTGGGATATTGTAGCAATAAGATTAGCTTAGCTCAGCAGCCAGAACGAAGACATAGTTGTGGGTCACATTCCCAGGTTAGTTGTCAGGAAATATATTCTTCCTGTTGCTAGAGGGGGTAGTAATGAGCTAAGTCCATGAGCCAGAAAAATCAAGATTTTCAGGAGCTAGTGGTGTGAGTTGTCTGTCACGTCCGGCCTGGAGTCAGCAGTAACGCAGATAAGGATCCAGGCCTGCGGGAACTAAATGCGGGCACCAGCAGAGCAGGAACCAGCTCTTAGTCAAGGGCAGATGCCATCAGAGAACTTGTCAGTTTCCTACCTCTGACTCAGGTCCTGCAAGAGAAATAGGACATTTTTGTGGCTTCAGCTGGAGAATGCGGACCCTGGTTCTTTAAATGTGCTCTGATTTTTCCAGGACACATGTCTCTGAAAGCTGCCTTTATCAACTTGGTTTGATTTTGCCCCAGTTGAAGTTAGTACTTTGCAGATCAGTTCCCTCACAGCTTCCTTGCCTGAGACCAACACAGGTTTCTTCATGCCCAAGCTCAGAAACTTTGGGTGTTGTTAGCATACCCTCACATGCAAGTAACAGACGTGCTCTCTGAGACTAAATAGGAAAGGTATTCAATGGCTTAAGTAACTAAGTCTCACCCAGCCAGTATGGTTCAGTGGTTGAGCATCAACCTATGAACCAGGAGGTCACGGTTCTATTCCTGGTCAGGGTATAAGCCTGGGTTGCAAGCTCAATAACCAGTGTGGGGCGTGCAGGAGACAGCTGATCAATGATTCTCTCATCATTGATTTTTCTATCTCTCTCTCCCTCTCGCTTCCTCTCTGGGATCAATAGTAATATATTTTTAAAGTATCTGAGTCTTCAGGATTGGCTAGTGCAGCCTCTCAACAGTGTCATCCACTGGCTGGTTTCTGTCCATCTCTCAGCCATTCTGCCCACAGTGGCTGCATACCGGGCAGTTCCCACACACATGTAGGCTCAGTGTGTGCTATTGGATCACAGCAGGAAGTAGCCAAGATTGCTTCCGGAGGACCCCCCAAATGCAAGAAGAATTCTCCCCAACATTTTCAGTATATTTCTCATCTCATCGGCCTCTATCGGGTTCCCAAGTAGGTCACCCCCTTGTTTCCAACCCAATCCCTGGCAAGGGTGAGGAGACCATCCTTCAGCCTGCCTTGCCCACCCTGACGCTGTGTGGGGTTGGTTTTGCTCTAAGGCACACGAGCTGTGTCGGGGAAGAGGAGATTCCCGGGAATGTTGGAGTTCTTGGACGAGGAGGGACAGGAAATGGATATTGGAAGGCGGTCAAGAATGTCTACTTCATCTGAAATCTTCATCTCTTCCCTTCTCATTGTTGCCTTTTTTTTTTTTCACTAAGTCGTTATTGAACTTCCTACTTCCATTTTTCAACCCTCCTACAGTCCATTTTGCAAAGAAAAAAAATCTCAATTTTTTCTTTTCCATTAAAAAAAAATTAAAAACTACAGTGGCTGTCTTTTGTCTGCCAAATAGATTTTATGTCCAAGTTCTAATTATGTCCCACTTTCCTTAAGAGCCTTATGTCCCACAGCCAGTTGTTTTTAGACTGTCTACCAGTGGCTTCCCACATAAATTATACTGTAATTCCTGCCTGCTTTATCTCCACAGATATATATATATATATATATATATATATATATATATATAAAAAATCAGGTTATTTAAGTATTCTAAGTATATATGTATTGCTAATATATAACACTTTCATTTGGTTTTTTGTATTTATGCCTTCTCAACTAAACTTAAGTTCCTTATTTCAAGGATCATGTATTACCATGGTGGTGCACTAGAGCCACCTCATAGAGAGAAGAGAGAAAAAGGTACAGATTATAGAGGTTAATTTAAAAGAAAACACAGCAGATTGTAACAATTGCCAAATTCTGAAAATAATTGCGAGGTTGATTTTATCTTGCCATTCAAAATCTATTCCTCCTCCTCACACAAAATGATTTTTGAAATTTGAAGTCTATAACTTGTAAAATACAGTGAAGTATATGTATAATTTCTCTCCTGGAGACAGAATCATGACTTATATAATAGCTAATGCTTCAGTGATTCTTAATCAAACACTCTTGTGCGTACACTGCATATGATTATCATTTAATTCTCAACAATACCTGGAGACTGTTACTGTAATTTCCCCCATTTTATAGATAAGGAAACTGAGGTGCAGTGATGTGAATATCCTTACAAAGGTCACCCAGCTAGCAAATAGTTTAGTTGGGATTTTAACCCAGGCAGCTCAACTCCTGAGTCACATTCTTTATTTTTTTAAAGGTTTATTTTACTTATTTGTTAATCCTCACCAGAGGATATTCTTTCTTTCTTTTTTTAATATATTTTTATTGATTTCAGAGGGGAAGGGAGAGGGAAAGAGAGATAGAAACATCAATGATGAAAGAGAACCATTGATTGGCTGTCTACTGGGGATCAAGCCTGCAACCGGATTTGAATCTGGGACCTTTCACTTCACAGGCCCATGCTCTAACCACTGAGCCAAACCAGCTAGGGCCCGAGTCCACCTTTTAACCATAAGCAGTTAACATTTCAGCCGCCATTACACATACACACACTCCAAAAATATATACTTCATAGAGTACAAAGATTTGGAAAAACACTCTAAAAATAATGACCCCTCATATCTCAGCTTAATAAAATAAATTGCAAACTGTGAGGCATCTCCCAGTAATTTTATCTGTGTGAACGGAACTAAATTCTTAAATGATTATCAGCTTGTGTGACCTCTCATCAGAGTGGCAGAGAGGAAGAATGAATTAAGTGATTTACATCATATGATAAATAGCTAAAGCATGCAGTCAGATTCAGCTGATTAAGAGCCGTTTGAGAGTCTGACTTGCTGTCTTTTTTAAAAATATATTTTTATTGATTTTAGAGAGGAAGGGAGAGAGAGAGGGAGAGAGAGGGAGAGAGAGAGAGAGAGAGAAACATCAATGATCAGCTGTCCCCTGCACACCCCACACTGGGGACTGAGTCCCCAACATGGGCATCTGTCCTTGACTAGGAATCAGACCGTGACCTCTGGTTCATAGGTTGATGCTCAACCACTGAGCCATGCTAACTGGGCTCACTTGTTTTCTTATATTAGGATAAAGATATTGTTTCAGATTTATCATTTATAGTCTTTAAATATAGAATGAGGAAAACATTATTTACTGGCCTGAAATAATTTATGATGCCAGCATAGATTGTAGAATCAATTTGAAAACATATGCTAAATGTTATTCCATGTCATCATTTTGAAATTAAGTTGTTTTTGTTTAAAAAATCTTTCAAATTGTGAAACACAAATGCTTATTAATTTAATTACTTCTTCTCTAAGCATACTCTTTTGGTAAAACAAAAAGACATTGCTTTTTGATTAGCAAATTTTAGAAGCAAAATCTTAGTACTTAACCATGACAGGTGAACATTCCAGAAGGAAGAGAGTATCTGTCTACTACCTGGTTATTTTTGATGTTCCTCTCTGAGGGTCCTCATGTTTCCAGAATCTCTACAGACTTACCAAGTAAGCTAAACACTCTAGAAACAAATCTGTACATCAGAGCAATCAAGTTCTCCTGAAATTGTGTGACTATTTTGAGTCCTATTGAGAAAAATCAGCCCTCATTTTAGCTACAGGGAGAAAGGGATAGGGAGAGGGAGAAAGAGAAACATCAATCTGCTGCCTCTAGCACACCCCCTACTGGGGATCCAGCCCAAAACCTGGGCATGTGCCCTGACTGGGAATTGAACCTGTGACCTTGCAGTGCATGGGACTGTGCTCAACCAACTGAGCCACACTGGCCAGCGTGAGGTATGCTCTTCTACCTGCTCATTTGGTTTACACATTTATTTAGGTTACAGTGAAAGGCCTTCAGGCATTGCATACATTTTGAGAAACTATACATACCTGTTGAGGAATAGGTTTTTGTTTCTTTTATATTGATTTTTAATCTCCTCAAACTAAATTTAAAAACCTGCAAGGTGTAACTCCTTTTAAGCAGAAGTGGTTTACCAGTCTTTGTTATACCAAGTACTAGAATATACGAGGCAGAAGGAGCCTTCAGATTACAGTCGGTGTCATCTTGAGTTAGTGTAATATTTTATTTTATTTAGTACAGAAGAATAAAGGGAACTTCTTTTCCTGGATTCTGTGTGTTACAGGATCCCCTAAAAGGTCACTTAGTCATAAAATATTTTAAGGAAGTTAGGGTATTATCACCAATTGCTCTGATTTAGGTAAATAGAATTCTAACACAGTTATTAAAAAAATTTAAGTATCTAGAATCTAGATTAACAACAGTATCAGTGTAAATAAAGTATATTTAGTATATTATTTGGTGTATTTTGGTATAAACAAAATAGATTTGGAAGAGAAATGGTTAAGAGCCTCATGTTCCAGAGTATATTCATAATTCATAATTCCAGAGTATGTTCCGTCAGTTTCCTAAGAGAGGAAAGCTGTTTATATCTGTTTTAATTTGGAAAAGCCCTAATTTTTCTAGTAGGCCTACACTTCCCAAATGGAGTGGGCCCACGCTTGATCTGTTTTTCTTATCTCCTTAGAAAGGAATTCTTCCCCATAATGAATTTTCCAGATGACTGAACTTTTACAACTGACAATTTTTTTTAAAGAAGTTGAATGATTTCCTGTATTTCTATGAAATGAATTACCCTTTCACTGTCTTTCCAAGCAGAGGAGGCGGAATGTGATTAAAATGTTTGCTTTATCACTAGGGATCATTATGAATATTAAGTGAGGAATATTGAGGAGAGAACATGGAACTGTGATACTTACAGCCATGTCCTTGGGAGACTCGGAAGGGGCTGTGTGTACGCCTTGTACATGGAATAGTACATGTCTCCCCTTGATGTTTTAGCCTTCTCTCTACAACTTAACTCTTCCTTCCTAGTAAAACGTCTGACCTAAGCCTTACAGGGCTCTCCAGAGGGTCTTCCTTGTTGGTGAAGGCCGCAGATAGAGAGAATAGGCGTCATGTCTGTCTTGGGTTTCTTAGAGTTAGGTTTTTGGTTTTAGTTGGCTGTTTTCCTCATTCTGAACCATGTTGGAGACTTGGGGCAGGACAAGAGAGAAACATTTATTTGTGTGTCCACTTATGTCAGGCTTTGTTCTGAGTAACTTACCTAATCTCGCTCAATACTACCTCACTAAATGTTCACAGCAGTCCTATGGATAGATAGTACTATTTCCTCATTTGGCTGGGAGGAAAATGAGGACTGAAGGCTAATAGAGACAGGATGTAATCTGATTTGAAGTCTTATCCCTGCTCTTTACTGAACCAAACCGCCTGGTTATAACCATTGGATCCTAACATGCTGCCTCTTTACTCGATGGTGTTAGACAACTGGTTTCTGGGTAGTTGATGTTAAGTTGTACCAGTCTCAGGTTCCTAGTCCTTGGAGTAAAGGCGAGTTTGTAGGAGGACTGAGGGAACTATAATCTTAAAAGCAGTCGTGTGCCCTTGTTGGTCTCTGCTGTTAGAATGTGAAGGTATGCCGAAAGTGTGTTATTAGTAACTGGGAACTTTTCATTCCCAAGGGAGGAAAATATTGCTTTGAGTGCTGAGTGGCAAGTAAATCATATATCTCTGGATAAGCTCTTGGTGGTTTTTACATCGTAATTCAGCCACATCGTTTTATAGAAAACTACCACCTTTTGTCCTAGTGTTACTGTTATCTGAAGGATGAGCAAAGCAGAATGAAGGAATGAAGGATTAGGTATCTCTGTTGGTAGCATGGTTTATAAACTAGTTGTACTATATGGAATTGGTCAAATATAGTACACTGTATATAATAAATCAATGCATAAAAATTAAATAGTATTAATGAGTTTATTAATATCTGTTGAGTGGTTAATGCATTATACTGTCACAGGAATTTTAAGTGATAGGACTTTGGAGTAAATATTCAAATCCAAGTGGACATTTTATTATTAAGAAAAAGATATATTAACTTTTTAATAAAGAAAAATTTTAAATGTGACTTTAAATTATTAAGTCTTGTATAACCTTTCCAATAGCATGTAAAATATTTGCTTTGATAATGCAGAGTTGTTCTTGATATAATTTTTTTCATTTTCAGGGGTACAAAAAACTAAGTAGACTTTGAAAAGGATCATTTTTACATTAAGATTGTTTTGGTTGGATATGGTTTCTCTTCTTCGTAGATTTTTTTTTTTTTTGCTTTTTTTTTTTTTTTTTTTAATTAGCTTGATGTTTTCTATACACTGCCCCATGCTTTTGGTTACAGAAAAGTTGCCATCCCAAACTTCTATACCCTAAAAGCAAACAGTGTTATGATTCAGAATATGCCAAGAAGCCAGTTACAGCACCTGAAGAATCCCATCAAGATTTAATTTTCCAAAAGATGTTTCAAAAGACTAAATACTTCACTTAATTAGAAAACGATTGGAAACAACTTGCTATCCCTGCATTGACTTTTCCTCCTAATAAATTATCTGCAGATGGTTTCTACCAATGTATTTTCAAAAAGAATGCTGTTTGAGCTTTAGGGGAATGTTTTTCATTTGAACTCGCTCTTTACCATCTTGATAATAGCCATTGTCAATTGCTTCCTGAAAAACAGGGTAGTTTAATCTTTAAAAAAATGTACATTCGTATATATTTTTATATACATGTATGTATATATTGCATTTGCACTTCTGATAACACATACTTAAAACATTCCAATTACCATTTTCACTTCTATGCCTTTACATGCTTTCTGTATAAATGTGTTTATTTTTATTTTTATGCCTTTATATTGGCTTCTGAGCAATAGACGAATGGTAGCATTCTTGTCCTGTTTGCTGCTTCTGCTAACTCTTGTTGTTGATCTGATTTTATAATTCAGCTTTTTGCCAAGGATTTTTGACACTGTGTGCATATACTGCTGTATAGAAATAGACATGAATTTTCTTCTGCAATGAATGGCTGGCAACTCAATTTCTACTTTTATTTTTTTCACACTGCTGCTTGGATTGCAACGCTGCAGGCAAACCACCTGCTTTGTCTTTAATATTCTTTTATTCTTTATAAACTGTATCTTCCTGCAAGGATCACACGTCAGGGTATTGTTTTGGGTCATTCTCTAAGTAGTGGTTTTGAATGTGAAGGGGAAGAATGGTAAGTGGGATCATTATCGTAGAGCATTGCTTACATGCTGACTTCATTTCCGCTTCCTCACTTGAGCACCTGTCCTCCTCGGAGTTCTACTTGTGTTCAAGGTATTTCAGATATTTCATTCTCCTTACTTGATAAGGAAATTCATCTTTTTTCTGTCACTGGAGATATATAATATATACAGTGAACATGTATCTCCATCTCCATTTGATTTCAATTCTTTTGCACCTTGATGATTTCTAGATCCTAGTTGGAAAGAACATGGTCCTAGCCATTCAAGGTCCATCTCTTTAACTGCTTTGCTATCCTTTGCCATGGCTGCTACTCACCTTGCATCTCCAGTTGGTGCCTGAATACCATGTTCGCAACCAAAACGATTTCTTCTCTGTGACATTTGCCCTTGTGTTCATCCAGCCTGGGATCTGACTTCTGGTTCTCTTGACTCCTTCACCTGCTAGAAGCTCCCAAATATTTTGAATTTTCTCTTATTTTTCTCATTAGGGTGCAGCTTAGATGCCAAGCAAGTTGAGGAACAGCCTGCCGCCGCAAACGAAGAAGTCCTTTTTCCTTTATGTAGGGAACCGAGCTATTTTGAAATCCCTACAAAAGAGTTCCAGCAGCCGTCACAAATCACAGAAAGCACTATCCATGAAATCCCAACAAAAGACACACCGAGCTCCCACCCCACAGGTGCAGGGCATGCTTCCTTTACCATTGAATTTGATGACAGTGCCCCAGGGAAGGTAACGATTAGAGACCATGTGACCAAATTTACCTCTGAGCAGCGTCACAAGTCCAGGAAGTCTTTTGCTGGAGCTCAAGACCTGCCTGGGATTCAGACTGGAATGATGGCCCCCGAGAACAAAGTCGCCGACTGGCTAGCTCAGAACAACCCTCCTCAGATGGTCTGGGAGAGAGCCGAAGACGATTCCAAAAGTATTAAGAGTGATGTTCCCGTGTACTTGAAAAGGTTGAAAGGTAAAGTGAATTGATCGTTTCCGACCTTCCTCTATTCTGATAAAGGAAAATTCCATCTTCACAGTTGCCCAGCTGCTATGAGATTACCAATGTGGTAGAAACCTGCTCTCTCCGAGGTTTATATTTGATTTTAAAGCTCAAAAGCAAGCCATACTCGTGCCCCTGGCCAACTCATGCAAAATAGTCTGCCTTCGTGTTCTTGCCAAAACCAGATTGGTTTTGTAAATTTCATTTATGCCAAAAGTATGTCTCCCTTTTCTTACGGAATTAAAAATTTAGTCAGTTCAGTAGTGGAATTCTCTAGAAGACAGTTCTCATCCTTTTCTTGACTTAACGAAAAGATATGTTCAATAATAATCTTCTCTATTGGGATCCTTCCAGTAAAATGTCAATATCTAAATTTTGAAAGAAATGTGAAGCCATTTGATAATGAATCAAAAGTTCCACCTTGGTAATAAAGTCATATTGTTGATAGAGTGTTTCAAACTGATCTTAGTAGTTACTCGTGAAACAAAAAAAATTTTTTTTAGAGATAACTTACTGGGAATTGATTGAATTACATTCTTTCAATAGACTTTTATGAAAATGACAAATTGAATTATTTATTCATGAAATAGTTTTTATATATGCTTTAATAGTATAATTCTTGGCCAAAAATTGCAACATCTTTATACCTGTAGAGGTTATTGACTAGTTTTCCATTGATTTTGCTAATTAAATTTACTTTAGAATTGCCAAATACAGTTTTGTGTTACTCTATATTGTATTTAACAAGCTATCTATGAGGGAAATGATTGCATGTTAATCTGGCCATTCTGTAACTGTAAAAGGTGTTAATGAGCTTTAAAAAAAATGTCTGTTGAGATCAGAGACTATTACTTACTTTGTATTCCTAACACTTCACCTGAGACTTGAGTACGTGGAGTACGTGATAGGTGTTCAGTAATTAGAGTAAACAATAAATGATCTGGCAATCAATGACAAGACTGACCCTACCTTGTACTTATGCCCTGGGAATCTGGTCAGGTGATGAAGTACCTATTTCTGATTTGCTTCTAAGATATTTCAAGACAGTGAGATGGTGAGGTTACCTAAATCTTTGTTGGGCCTATTGCTATATTTAATTATGATTATATGCAGTCATCTGATATGTGATTGTTATCCTTTACTTCTACTGTGTAATATTAAATAAATAGTAGAGATCTATATGTGAATGTATAGGTTAAGCTTACAGACAAAAGCTACTAATTTGTAAACTGACCATTTTTATGATTTGGATAAATAATATTGATATCCTTGTATAATGTGAAAGGTAGCATAAACCTTAAAAATTTAAAAGTAACACCATCTTTTTAAAGCCACTCTTAATAAATACATAAAAAGTGAGCTAAAGATCCTTTTAAAAGCTACCGTTTAAAAAAATACCCTTTTATTACAACTGCTTTTTAGTCATTATCACTATTTTCTGTATTTGCTGTTATTTTATTTTTTTATTTTATTTTTAATTTGCTCTGTTTTATTTTTTTTAATATATTTTATTGATTTTTTACAGAGAAGAAGAGAGAGGGATAGAGAGTTAGAAACATCGATGAGAGAGAATCATCGATCAGCTGCCTCTTGCACACCTCCTACTGGGGATGTGCCCGCAACCATGGTACATGCCCTTGACTGGAATCGAACCTGGGACCTTTCAGTTCATGCTCTATCCACTGAGCTAAACCGGTTTCGGCTTTGCTGTTATATTAAACCATCATTTTAAGACATTCTCTGCTCTTGAACAAGCCTAATTCCAAATAGAGGCATCAATGCCCACATTCATGTTATATCCATGCATGAACGATTACATATTTGAAAACTTTACCAGAAATTATACAATCAATACTATACCCCTGGGAATTAATTTTTAGATAGACACATATTTTAGTACGTTGCCATTGCTCATAGCCCTTCTACTGGCTATGCCTTCATTTTTCATCTAAAAAAAATTTCTCTACATATAACTCAGTTTGGTCTAAGATAGACCCGTTTCATTACTCCAGACATTCTTACAAATGACATTTGATTTTCCCCAAAGCCAGAGCTGCCATTGTTAGATAAAGGTTTTCCACATTTTAGGCATCAAGCCTATATATCTAAACTCTATCCAAATACATGGAATGACAGCAAACAGTAATAATTTTATATTCACTAAACTTGCAGCAACTGTTTAGATCAGCCAGAAACTTGAAAGTAGGGAAAACAAAACAAAAACAAAAAACACACAAAACAAAACAGCTGTGCTCCTGCAAGAGTAAAGTGCACGCGCTTTGGGACAGTGAGGCCAAGAATGTTCTCAAAGCCCCTACACTTCCACCCTTTAGGACAGCTGCTGCTTCTCGGCCACAGCTGCTTAAAGGGACAGTCCGCTTAGTCAGGCACAGCCAAGGACAGACAAGACAGGCAGGAAGAAACCTATGGGGAGGGGAGTGCCCTGGTGCTCCTCTTGTTGAGTGAAAACAGAGATGGCAGTTCTGCTCAGATGTCCACCCTGTGTGACACTGAGAAATATAAGAGAAAGAATAAACTTTCCAGAAAAGAAAATGGCTGACCTACACATTCAAATAGACATTTTAGCCCTGCCAGGGTGGCTCAGTGGTTGAGTATAGACCCAGGAGCCAAGAGGTCATCGGTTCAACTCCCGGACAGGGGCACATGCCCAGGTTGCAGCCTTAATCCCTAGTGGGGGGCATGCAGGAAGCAGCCCGGTGTTCCTCTCACATCCATATTTCTCTCTCTTTCCCTATCTCTTTCCCTTCCTTGCTCTCTAAAATCAATAAAAACATATTTTTTAAAAAGAAAGAAATTTGAAGCTATAATTTAAAGAGAAGATACTCAAAGGGCCTGACACCACTCACGTGTCAAATTTTATATGTTGGTTAAGAACTAAACTCCGTAAAAATATTGTTTTCATATAGTGCGTGTGTGGTTTGGCTTTTTTTGTGTGTGTTTATTATGCAGGAAATATTGGCGTTCAGTAAAATCCAGCTCGTACAAACTGGATTTCTTTTCAATATATCCAATTGCAACAGTGAGTTAGGTTGGAAAAGGTCATGTTTTAATGAGCTTTCGTATTTGAAGTGGTGGGATTTTTTATTTTTTATTTATTTATGGGTGTTTTCACATTCCATCTGCTATCCCGACTTCATAGCTTAATTATCTGAGACGGGGAGTCTGCTAATTAAACAAGTGTGCGTTCTCTTTTAAGATTGCATTTTGAATAGTTACTAGTTGGAAGAAAGTTTCATATTTGTTGTCATATCTGAGGTTTCTCTTACCCGACTTCCCTGCGCTGGGAGAGTTCCCCAGACCGCTCTTTTTGGTCTTGCTAACTCCATGAGCTTCCCTTGCCCATTTTCTTCACCCTCTGGAGTCTTCTTGCTGCGTTTATGCTCCACATTTTTACAGCTGGTCCTCTTGTGTTCAATCACTAGCACCAACCAGTAGCTTCTAACTTATTAGAACCAGCCATGAATTTGACACTCAACTTTCTCCTGGGACATATGTGTGTTGTCCCTCCCAATCTCCAAGTCCTCAGTGCTGCTCACCATCTTCTTTGACGCCAAATTAGTCAGCAAGTATTCCCATTACATTTGTGGCCCAGGACGATTTAAAAATCAGATTTAGTCCTGGAAACTTTGGAATACACCTGGTTGATAGATTCATTTATAGCTTCTAAAAGCCCTCATTGAAGAGTCGATCTTGAACATGCATAGAATAACTCTTGACTTTCTAATAATTCTATGCCATGTATATAATACTTATTTGATTGTTGTAATATTCTTATTTAGGTAATAAGAATTCTAAATCGGTGAAAAGGCAAGTAATACTTGACTTGTCATAGTTTTACATTTTGATATTTCAAAATTCCAATATATTCTAACTAAACTATATGCTTTGTGGTGCAGATACATTTTTATATGGTTATATTTAGTACCATGCCATTTGCCCAGTAGGTGTTAGACTTATATAGGATTTTATAGATAGGCCTTTAGCATGCTTTATTTAATTCGGAAAGCCACCAGAGTTTAGAGCTCAAAATGCAGATTTTTCAAAAATTCTTGTAGCTGAAAAGATGTTTGTAAATAATTGTACAGTAATTGATGGAAACTATAAAGACGCTGTACTTAGGGATGTAGTATATATCATCAAAAGTTAAGATTCATCACATTTTTTATGACATTTGTATTCTCTTTTCCTGTGTAAGGATAAGCATTTCAGTAGAATCACCCTTTCCCTGTCTCTTCCTCACTAGTTCTAGAATCATATTTTTGATTGCTTAAATAAAGTGTCGGCTTCGAAGGTAGGATTCATGTTTATTAATGTTATATTACAGACTATCGTGGATGCTGTCGCATTGCTTATCTGCTAAGGCAGTGGCCGGCAAACTGCAGCTCTGTTGACTAATGAGTTTTGCCGACCACTGTGCTAAGGCATTGATGCATCATCCTAACGTTAAAATTTAGAGAAAGACAGTCCTATTCAGTCGCTCATACAGGACCCCATTGTTGGTTGGTGAAATCGAATGGAAGCTTTGCAGTGGAGGGAAGAACATATGACTTCGGATTGAATGGCCCAGGGGGCGAAACAAATGGCACCTTTGTACGTGCTTCTTACTGTCTCCGGGGGCTTTCTCCTTCTCTGTCATGCCGTTTCTTTTTTTGTGTCCAGGAAATAAGCATGATGATGGCACCCAGAGCGATTCCGAGAACGCTGGGGCGCACAGGCGCTGTAGCAAACGGGCCATGCTGGAGGAACAGCTAAGGCGCCACCATTCGGAGCAGAAAAAACTGCAGAAGGCCCTGGCCACGGACAGGCTCCAGGACCAGGCTGTCGTAAGTCAAACCGCCTTTTTGATTGCATTCTCTGATGAAGACAATCCCAGCAAGAGAAGGCCCTGTTTCCTTCCTCAGAGTGCGGGAGTCTTATGTGAGGGGACGACTCACTGCACACCACTCACAACACTTACAAAACCCCAGTCTCCAGCAGCAGACGCCAAAGTGGTTTCTTTGTCTTTACAGACTAGCTCTGCGCACCGCAGAGGGGGGCATGGTGTTCCACATGGGAAATTGGTAAAGCAGAACTCAGAGGAGCCCGCCGTGCCAGTCCCCTTCCTTCCAGCTGCCTTGTTAAGAAGTTCAGGGAGTCTCGGGCACAGACCGAGCCAGGAGATGGATAAAATGTTAAAAAACCAAGCGCCCTCTGCTGCTTCTGAAAAGGATAATGATGATGACCAAAGTGACAAGGGTACTTATACCATTGAGTTAGAGAATCCTAACAGTGAGGAGGTGGAAGCAAGAAAAATGATTGACAAGGTAAATAACTGAAATGTGGGGATGATGCTAGTGTTCGGGGGTGGATCTGCCTGGCGGAAATTACTGGAGAGTCAGCATGAGACGGTCTCATGCAGGCAGGGGTATGAACCACAGGATTTGTTAGGGAAACTGGAAGACTAGCAGTAAGACCACATGCTTTCTGATTTTATTCTGCCTATGTTCTGAATTTGCCTGAGTTTCATAGGTAAAGTCCTTACATTTAAACTGTCGGGACCTGTTATACTTGATTACATTTAAGATAGGGATTTTATTTTATTTTATTTTATTTTTTAATATATCTTATTGATTTTTTTAAAGAGAGGAAGAGAGAGGGATAGAGAGTTAGAAACATCGATGAGAGAGAATCATTGATCAGCTGCCTCTTGCACACCCCCTACTGAGGGTATGCCCGCAACCAAGGTACATGCCCTTGCCTGGAATCGAACCTGGGACTTTTCAGTCCGCAGGCTGACGCTCTATCTACTGAGCCAAACTGGTTTCGGCAAGATAGGGTTTTTAAATAGTATACTTTGGCCATTCTCATTTTGCATACATTTAAAAACTAAAAAAAGCTATTAAAAAAAAACACACAAAAAAAAAACTCAGATTGCTATGACTCTGTTGATGCAAACATAATTGTTAACTTATAATGGTTAATCACAGGTTTCTTGCCTACTATTTCATGTTGGAAGCAGATGAAAATACATGTTTTTAATCACTTTTGTTCTTTTTCTTATTTTCTTAATGTCTTTTCATTTCTGTCTTTGGTGATAGAAAAAAAGTGTGAAAACGAAATCCATTTGTTTGTGGCACTTTGAGCTGATGCCCAGCCATGGTGATTATTTACTTCTCAAATTTGTTTTCACGTCATTGGTTATGTGCCCAGTGATTGCTGTATGGCTTAAAAAGTAGTTTTCCTCAATTTTGCTCTTGGTGTGGAAAGTTGACTTTATAATCGGCTGTTTATTTTACTCCCTGGCAGGGAGCAGCCTGTTTGGCCAGTGCTTGGTCTCTCGTTAAATTTCTGTTACTCAGCGTGTGAACTGCATTCGCATCATTTGAAAGCTTCTTAGAAATACAGCCTCTCAGGCCCATTCCGCACCCACTGACCCGGATCTGCTTTGAGAGCAAGATCTCCAGGTGTTCGTATGCTCGTTAACCTTAGATGCACTAGTTCCGTGGTCGGCAAACTGCGGCTCGCGAGCCACATGCGGCTCTTTGGCCCATTGAGTGTGGCTCTTCCACAAAATACCATGGCCTGGGCGAGTCTGTTTTGAAGAAGTGGCGTTAGAAGTTGTTTATGTTTAAAAAATTTGGCTCTCCAAAGAAATTTCAATGATTGTACTGATGACATTTGGCTCTTTTGACTAATGAGTTTGCCGACCAGTGCACTAGTTTAAATGATGAGTTTACAGAGTGGTCCTTCAGTGGTCCCAGAGAGGTCCTGAGCATTTATGTTTATATTTATTATTTTTAAAAAATATATTTTTATTGATTTCAGAGAAGAAGGCAGAGAGACAGAGAGAGAGAGAGAGAGAGAGAGAGAGAGAGAGAGAGAGAGAAAGAGAGAGAGAGAGAAATATCCATGATGAGAGAGAAGCATTGATTGGCTGCCTCCTGCATGCCCCCTCACTGGGGATCGAGCCTGCAACCCGCACATGAGCCCCGACTGGAAATCAGACTGTGACCACTTGGTCATAGGTAGTCGCTCAATCACTGAGCCACACTGGCCGGGCCACTTATGTCTACTTTCAATTTCACAGTTTTTATTTCCATGTCGGCGAGGGTTCTCTAGGTGCCCTGGAGCAGGTATGTAATTTCTAAGCTTGCATTTATGAAGGAGCACATGTTCATGTCTTTTACTATTGAGATGGAGATCCAGCAGTCCAGGAGATGGATGTGATGTGAGAGCTGTTGTTGTTGTTGGTAATAGAGGTGTGACACGTAAGAACCAGATGAGCCAGTTTTATTAGATTAAAAGGAGCCTAAGGACGCAGTCTGAGCATAGAAAATGACTCTTGGGGACTTGGGATTATTTTTATCATTGGGAACTGATAATGACGTTTCTTTCCTATTATTTTAAAGTTCACCATTTCCCTCTATGAGGACAAATACATTGCTACTTAAAATACTGTCTAATAGAAAATATAAGAATAGGTTTAAAAAAAAAGAGTAAGGTAAGAAGTTTTAAAATTCAGATTATCTGGCGAGGATGTGGAGAAAAAGGAACCCTCATGCACTGCTGGTGGGAATGCAGACTGGTGCAGGCAATGTGGAAAATAGTATGGATTTTCCTCAAAAAGTTAAAAATGGAACTGCCATTTGACCCAATAATCCCACTTCTAGGAATATATCCCAAGAAACTGGAAACACCAATCAGAAAGGACATATGCACCCCTATGTTAATAGCAGCACAATTTACAATAGCCAAGATTTGGAAACAACTTTAGTATCCACCAGTAGATGAGTGGATTAGGAAACTGTGGTATTATACATCCACACAATGGAATTTTACCCTGCTATAAAAAAGAAGGAACTCTTACTATTTACAGCAGCATGGATGGAGATGGAGAGCATTATGCTAAGTGAAATAAGCCAGTCAGAGAAAGATAAATACCGCATGATCTCATTCATATGTCAGATATAATGATCAACATAAACTGATGAACAAAAATTGATCCAGAGACAGGGTGACACTGAGCAGACCTTCCAACCTCAGGGAGAAGGCAGGGATGGGGGTGGGTTAGAGATCAACCAAAGGACTTGTATGCATGCATATTAGCATGACCAATGGACACAGACACTGGGAGGAGTGGGAGCTTCCCCTTGGGGGTGAGAGTGGCCGGGTGGGGGAGAGGGGAAGGAGACCTGTAATACTTTAAACAACAATAAAAAAATCATGTGCCCTGACCTCCAACAACCTTTTGGTGCAGGGGAAGATACCCAGCCAACTGAGCCACACCAGCCAGGATAAGCTTTAGTTTCAATGACAAATTATATGGCTACACTGTAGACAGAGAAAAGCAAGATTTTATTTTATTTATTTATTTTTTAATCCTCACCTGAGGATATCTTTCCATTGATTTTTAGAGAGTGTGGAAGAGAGAGGGAAAGACAGAGAAACATTGATGCGAGAGAAACATGCCAATTGGTTGCCCCTGCATGCGCCCTGAGCAGGGTCCCAGCTGGGAGAAGCCTGCAACTGAGGTACATGACCTTGACCAGAATCGAACCCGGAACCCTTCAGTCTGCAGGCCAGTGCTCTATCCACTGAACCAGATTGGCTAGGGCAAGAAAAGCAAGATTTTAAAGCAGGATATCCCTTCATTTAAGGGAGTCGTGGCACTGTGTCTGAGTAGGTAACTCACAGTCATTCTTAGTTTGCTTGAAGCAGAAAACCGAGCTGAGGCGGTAAGGGCGGGGATGAGGAAGAGTCCCTGCATTAGCTTGTGAGGACCAAAGGAAAGGCTGAGATGCTGGCAGCCCTGGTTACAGCCAGCAGGCAAGTCCAGGCCCGCTCGTCAGGCTCTGGCAACAGAAAAGCAGAGATTCGGGCATCAAGTGTCTGACGAGGAAGAAGTAACGGATGTGTGTGGAGCAAACAAAAACCAAGAAGAGCCAGAATCGAGCTCAAGAACGCTGGAGGAGTGACTAGAGGCATCACATGGCTGAAGAAGCTCTGCCGACCATTTCTCTCCCTTTGAAGGGGGGTCTGTGGGATAGACGTTGGGCCTTGGACTCTGTCCCCCTGGATTTGTTTGGTCCTGAAGATGTTTGTGTAGTCTCCTTCCTTTCTCTCTCCATCGTGTGAGGGCTGCTTTAGTAGCCATCTTCATTCAAAACCGTCTGTGCGCCAGGCTTTGTGTTAGGAGAGATTTTCAATTTTCTAAAAAGTTGTATGCAGAGGGATGGAACTACACAAGTAAAAACATGAGTAAAGATAGTCCGATGACTGCGGTGATGGGCATAATCTGTTGGAGGAAGGTACCAATAGCTCCAAGAAGGACTCTCAGGTTAAACATGCCTTTGATAACTTTCTGTTTATTCACTTTCTCATTCCCTCATCACACACACACACACATACACACACACACACACACACACACACACACACACACACACACCATTACAAACCATGACTGCTGGTGCCAGGCATTTTATCCGTTCTCCATAAAACTTGAATTGAAATGCCAACTGATCTCATGTTGAAGCAGGTGGAATTAATCCCGTCGCACACATGTCTGAGTAGGGTTTCCATATGTGGAGACGTGTCCAGAAGCACGGAGGCTGGGGGACGAGTTCAGAGGACCATATTCCCTTTAGAGAGAGGAGCTTGGACTAGATCTTGATGGCTCGTGTGTTTTCCAGTGAGGACTCCAGGCTTTTCATGCTGAAGGCAGAGGGGAGGCATTGAAAACTGCTAAGTAGGGCAGTGATGATCTAATCACCTCAGAGGTGTGAAGAATGGATTAAAAATTGGAAAGGCCCAAAGCAGAGAAGCAATTAAAAAGCTGCTGACA